CCCTTGTTCCTTCCTATTATTGCTTATACTCTCTCTTCAACAAAATTAGAGATAAGGGCAAAATAGTTTCTGCCGGGTAGTGAGGGGGTAGGGGGGGAGAGGGAGGGGGCGGTGGGATATGGGAGGGGTGGGGGAAGGGGGGAGAAATGACCCAAACATTGTATGCACATATGAATAAAATAAAAATTTAAAAAGAATTAAGTAAAAATAAAAAAATTAAGTAATTGGAGGTACTTTTAAAGACCTGAGTTTCACTGGTTTACTTTCAAAACTTTCTAAATGAAAGTGTGAAGCCAAAACATAACAACTCCATTTTTAATACTCATATTTTTAAATATATAATCTCAATTTCTTAGAACCAGAGGAATATAATCTTGGTAATACAGACTCAAAAGTACACAAATCTAGGAAGTGATTTGACCAGGGCTAAGATCAGCTCTGTGGTTTTGGTGGCTTTAATGCTGCGCTTCTTTTATTATTCCTACTTGTTTCAACATTTCTTTTATGTGAACATAGTCCACATTTTTTCTCATTAAAAAAATACTTGTACCTGACTCTGAAAGGGAAACTTAAAGTAATGCTTTTCACATGTCCAACTCAAACTGCAAGGTTGGTATTTTGTTTCTTTTTTTAATTTAAAAAAATTATACCCTTGTGAATCCCAAAGTAAGATAATACTGAGTTATTCAAAACTTAGGAAATGAAAATATCACCATTCTCTGAACCATTAGAAATCAGCATAGCACAGGCTACACTCCATTTGAATGGCAAATTAACTCAAACTATAAAGTATATCACCAAGCTGCAAATTACTACATTTTAGTAACAAAGTGGTAAGTCATGTACTAATTTGGTTTCTTTTAAAAGAAGCAACAAATATTTTTTCAGGGATATTATACATAAATAAATGACCACCCTGTCATGTAAATACTGTGTACACATGTACGTAGTAAATGGAAAAATGATACCTGATGAAAATATTCCAGGAATAGGAGGGGGAATGATGAAAGGAGAATGATGGAGGGGATGAATTCAACTATGATACAGATGGAATACTGTAAGAACTTTTGTAAATGCCACAATGTACCCCCAGCACAACAAAATAAATAAGTAAATAAATAATCACTCTAATGTTCTTCTCGAGGCCTAAAACCACTAACCCAAAGAAGGACTGCTTGTTTCACTGGAGCTAAAAACACAAAACCAATAACAAAGACCTTTAGTAGCACTATCCCTGAAGCACATTAACAAAAGCATTACCTTAAATAAGGCATAGTTTTCAGAAGCTATAACATACAAAATGAGCACAAAGACCTTGTATGCTAAAGAGCCACATTGCCTTACAATGTCTTTAATAAAGTATGGGGAAGAAAATTAACTAATATATACAAAACAATATCAAAAGACAAGAAAACATGAATTTTATAATGCAATACTAAAATTAAATAAAAAGTTGCAAATGAAATACCTTGTGATTTAAAATCTTTTATGACTTTCTGAAGTTCTTTCAATTCAACATCAAGTTCATCATAGTTTAGTTCTCTAGATTCAATTATTGGTGCTTGGAACAGAGAAGGGTCTGTCCCCAGGTATGAACACTGTAAGTGGCCATCATCACTGAGAGTGACTATCACTCCCTTTAAATCACTACAAGAAAGAAGACAGAATGAGACACAGTTATATTTCAGTACAGTCTGTCTTGACACACTATAGCTGTACTCAATAAAGCTTCTACATGCCATTAATAACCATCTGTTTGCAAAGCTTTACTTCAAAGACGCAATGCAAACGTATCAAACACCATTTATACTTACAGACATCCTCCAATGACAACATTCATTACAGGAGGGAGGGGAAAACCTTTTAAATTATCATAATAGCCACATGGTGACCTAACTATATGGCAAATCCTGCTCTCTAGTACAGATTTTAAGCCTCACTCCAGGTGCCACTTGGTGGATACACACTCAGCATGTGAACTGTACTTTTGAAGTACAAACGGTCAAGAGATGGAGCTTGGCTTCTAACTGGATGAAGATAAGGAATGAGGCACAGGAGCAGGTCAGGACATTCAAGGGGCTAGAAGAGCAAAGATGGTTGGAGAACTCATAGGAGATCTTGAGCGAAAATGTGCACCCTGCCCTTTTCCCACCCTTTTCCCTTTTATTACCCTTGGGACTAACATTTACCCTCTCACCTATCATAGCTTCCTTCACACATACTCCTATTCAAGTACCTCTGACCCTTGATCCTGGACTTCCCACCTCCAGAACCATAAGCCAAACAATTTTCTCTTCTTTATAAATACCTAGTCTCTGGTATTCTGTTATAGCAGCATAAAATAGATGAAGACACTCTTGGTGTACTTCACTCCACCTTTTCTTAGGCTGCCTTATCTGTCTTTTAC